AATACAAAACTGATTTTTAAATGGTTGTCCAACCTTCTCTGCTTTTATAGATTAAGTACGAATATGGCGAAATGTTGCTAGGAATGCATGGGTAAATCAGGAAAAATATATAGCCCACCTAAATACCGTTCAAACACTCAAATCTTACTGCGAAGCAAATTTTACTGATCAATTGGGGGTTATTTTTTGGAGATATTTTAACGCGCTTCAATTTTAACAAGGTTTTACAGTTACAAAAAATATTTAAATTTCACGAAAGTCTCCAATAATCATCCGTGAAGTTGAAAATCGACATTATGTCATGTCCTATGTCATTGTGAACTGATTTTATTCTTTTAGTAACGACAATTTTCTAAATTATATTATTTTATTTAATTTATTTTGGATACGATAAAATGGCCGACATAGGACTAAGTGAAATTAAACGTGAAAACATGGCGTCGACTAATATATTATTTCTATCGCCAAGAAAATGTTTAATAAACAAATTTGATATTTATAAAACATATTTGATTTATAACGTGTTTTATAATGCAGTTCCATAAAACATTTGTATTTTATTATCTAAAATGACATAGCGTAAAACTATTATAATATTCCAGACATTGCAATGTTGCCAATGTCAAGAACAAACGTGTACCTTTATATATTATCAATTTTGTATGGATTAAAATCAAAAGTTACTAGTAACTTTCGAACTTCATCTTTAAAAAATCATACTTAAAACTCGTGGCCGACAGAATTGAATCAAAAAAGTTGGAATTTAAAATTGGGAGAAAATAGTCATAGCTACCTACTTGATTAGAGTTTTTGGCCACACCGTAACAATTCCAACAAGTTTTTAATTGAATTAAATTAAATAGGTAGGCATATAGATTATACCTTCTCTGTATTTTAATTTTTAGTTCACTGTGGTTTACTAGCAGGGTTACAGTACCTACCTAATATAGACAGTAACTTGTAACGGTTCATGTGTTTACGTATTTGTCTAGGGCATTCGATCATAATCAACCCTTAATAATTCTTATTGAATTTCAAATAAATATTCTGGATACTTGAAGATAATATATTCAGTTTGACAACGTCGCATCGCCTGTTCTGAATCATGTATATCTGTTTTCAGATCATGGTGCTAGGTGGCGTGGGTGTCGGTATATCTGAAGTAATTGCGATAATAATAAAACCCTTATAAAATACTATTGTTATATAGCCTTCAGAAAAATCGCTTAAATAACAATATTATTATAAAGTTTATCTGACTGTATCAGTTTTACGATACTTTTATCGTAGAATACATTTATAAGAAAATTAGAAATTGGACACCTTATTACTATTCTATGTTATGTTACGTTATTATAAGCTAAACGCCCTTAATACAGATGTATGTTGCTAAATGACACCAAATTATTTCTTTCGAAATTAGCCTTTACCTCTTTCCTGAAATTGCCACTTCTTCCTAATATTATCCAGCAAGAAATGCTTGACATATTGATAATTAGCAATGGGTACCTATATCAATTATCACTGGAATTAAAACTAGAAATGTCAAGATTTTTCTGCAGCGAAGGTAGATAAACTAAATTTTAGGTTAGTGCTATAACATTTTTATAGGGTTACCCTAATAATAATTTTGTATTTTGTGAGACACTTCTGTTATTTAACCATTTTTTAAGTGCTTTATTCAATTTTGTTCCACAACAATTATAAAATAGTTTTATAAGAGTATTGAACGGAACTAAATTATTGCTAAGAATGAACTGTTTTATAAATTATTCTCCATAAATACTATAAAATCTTATGATAAAGCCGTAATAAATCAAAATGCATACTTTTATAAGTGATATATATCTGTTTGTGAATATTACTATAAAGCAACTACATATATCTATCTCAAACAAAAACAGTTTTATAAGTCTTGTCATATAAATATTTATGAGCAAGTTAATTACCAAACTTATAAAATTGTTATTTAAATTAATCTTGAAAATATCTATATAGCAAAATAACAAAATAAATTTGTTTTCATGATACATTTGTATTTATCGAGTCTCTTAAAAATCAGTTTTGTTACTTCAAATGCTCTAACAAATCGGATATAAAGCACTTCAGTCTATTAACAATATTTCTGTGCTACTTGGGTGCTTAATTCAGAGGTGACTGAGGTGGTGGTCAAAGAAAAAGAAATTATAGATTTTTTCGAAAAAAAATAAAAAAAATCTTAGGAGGCTATGTTTTGGTATTTAGGCATAACTTTTAATTCCAAACAACTTTCCTCTATACGATTTTGCTGAATTTTCTAAAATAAGGGAATTTTACAGTACAGCTTTGATATTGTTTGAGCTACCCTGTATGCTGTTTGACTTGCAACCATTCTAAGTGCACCTAATATGATTATCAGACATGCACCAACTTTTGGCCTTGTTTGTTTTTGGGTTGTGCTATTACTAAAAAAAATCCCCATATGTTGCACACTTAAAAAATCACACTGTATACAGTGTGCGCCATAAGGTTGGGTACATATGGGAAAATTCTTAATTATTCCTTTTTTCAAAAAACTTTTTTTGGGGATCGTTTAGGCATGTTCAATAACCAAAAAATCGATTATGACACATGTCATGCGCATATCGGGAATTTTGAAAAAAGTTGATATTGATGTCGAAAAACGGGTAAATTTGTCAAGGTATCAAAAAAAATTATAAGAAAAAGTTGTTCAGAATCCAAAAAGAACTCCACATGCCGATTTTGAAGCAAATAAGAGAAAAAAAATAAAACTACTTATTTTACCCATAATACCATTAAATGGAAAATCGGAAATATTAATTTTATTTCAAAAATAGCTTTATTCAACTAAACTACATAAGTTTGATATCAAATGAATCGATTTTTTCGCGAAATACACACTTGAAGGTCATAAATTAGAAAATACCTTCCGGCCGTGTCGCTATAACTGTACCCATGTCCCTTTTTGCACATTTTCTGGTCATCAGAAAAATAACATGACATGTGTCATAATCGATTTTTTGGTTATCGAACATGCCTAAACGATCCCCAAAAAAAGTTTTTTGAAAAAAGGAATAATTAGGAATTTTCCCATATGTACCCAACTTTATGGCGCACACTGTATATATATATATATATATATATATATATATATATATATATATATATATATATATATATACAGGGTGTCAATTTGAAAACTTCCCACTCCTATTATCTCGGAGTAGAAAAATTTTCGAAAAAATCCCTGAAACACGTCGACTATAATTTGAAAGGGGATGAGTTTTTTGCAAAAATAACCTCCCCTCTTTCAGCCCCCCAACCCCCAGAGCCACCCCCTATACAATCTTAAATGGGAAGAGGGGTCAAGTGATACATCATTTTGCAGGGTTTTTAATTCCATACATTTTGCGGTACCAAATTTCAATACCTGAGTTTCAATGTTTTGGAAATATTGACAGTTGAAAATTGACTTTTTTGCAACTTTAACAGGCTGTAAAACCTATACGGTTAATTTTAGAGAAAAACCGATCTTACATTTTTGTCTTAGATTTTCATAAACTATCATTTGACACCAACTTTGAATTTAACCGGAGATTAAATTTTTAACTGGAAGAAGAAGTCAATAGAAATATCTCTATTCGTTACAGAGTTCCAGCCCAGGTCACGCTCCTGTTGTGACGTCCCAGGACGAAAAGTATAGGGGTTGTGACAATATTACACAGAAACAAATTAACAGATTTCGTAATCCTTGCAACCATCGGAGACGCTAGAAATGATATCATTATATGCAACCTATTGAACACATAATATATATTTATCTACGTCAGTGGGATGACACTAATCGACACGCGTATCTTAAGTATGGTGTTAACTCACTTTTATCGTAAATATCTTTTATTTCATTGAAATCCCCATACAATAGAACAAACGCTAAACGCTACGATTTTTGACCCATTATCCCAATATCATTTTGTTTTTTTTTTTTTTTCAATTTTGACCGGCCAGATAATTATATAACCCTTGCCGCAAACTGCTGTTTGCCGGTAAGGCGCAGTAGGCACTGCGACCTGCGCCCACTGCGACACGCTTTGCCTTGTACTTCAAATTTCACCGCACGCCCCTGGTGATACCGCCGTCTTTTAACCTTGAACGAAAACTTCGAATTTGATCCCCATATACGCGAGAACATAAACATTTCCAAGTTCCAAACCCAAAGACAAATTTGGAGCAGCATAATTGAGATTTATGATAATGTTTGAGCTAATTTCCAGTAGCACAGTTACAGAGTGATTATATTTTACCCCATAACTGTACCAGTTGGCTCGCGGATCATTACGACCCTTATACGCACCTACGGTGAGCCTGGGTAAACCCCTACCAACCATGTGACGCATTTTAGTGTCCGTTGGGTATGGCCCATTTAATTATAGAGCTAAACAAATATACGCTAGGTATTGTATTATTTTGTACCAATCTTATCCAGTCGAGTAGATATTATTTTGTCGTTCTTGACCAATAAATCAAAATGGCTTTATTTTTATTAGCTACGTTTCGAAAAAATTATTTTTTTCTTCAGGCTTCAAAGCACGATTATTATCAGTGAAATTACCAGCCTTACTGGATCAACAACTGATCGATCAACTCAGTCGTTGATTGAGGCACATAAAACGAATGATAATTTTTGAAATAAATAAAAAAGGGCAGTTTTGTGATTACCATGTGCCATAGTGTATGGAACAAGCAAACGTGAAAAATAATGTTGTTTATTCCACTAATATTGACCTTGTTTTAATGCCAGAAAATACATTTTTAGATTGAAGCTGAAAAAACCATGGCCATTTGGTGGACCAATACCACATAATATACCTTCCCAAGAACGACAAAGTAAAATATACACTAAGCGTTTTTCCATACGTGCTGTGTTTTCCTGGAGCAAGCCTCTATCTCCCTGGCAAAAGACCTATGTGACACTATTTCAAAGAAAAACAACTCATAAGTTATGCTAACCGCTTTTTTATTATATGTAAAGGAATTTCGGCTTTTATATGTTTTTGATTTTATACAAAGGATTTTCGACTTTTATAAAACCAAAAGAATAAAATTAATTTCTACAAACCAAAAACTAATGTACATTGATTGGAGAAATTGTCAATTATCTCACAGTGGAGCTCACTTTATTAGTAAGAAAACACTCGAAGTCTTTCCTACAAAGTCTTATCGACAAATCTAAATTTTTTGGTTGGTAGACATATGACTCAGCCTCACCATCAACTTAATAATAAAAACGTTTTTTCTTTGTCTTTATGTTTGTGGGGGATGAAAAATGTAGATTTGTCAAAAAAGATTTACTTAGTTGAGAACACTGAGAGTCTTTTCTTTCTAATGCACAAAGGTTAAAAAATAAAGTGAATTAAAATACATAATAAATATTAAAATATAAATTTGACAGTAATATGGGTCAAATAATTACTGTACTTTATATATCACAAATTGTTAGTTGGGATATTCTATGTTCAGCCAAGCGCTCTTAATTGGTAAATATAGTATTTCCAGCGAATCCCCTTGCAACACTACAGTAAAGTCATGTCAAAATCTACTCAGTTTGGATAAGTAAATAATAGAGAGTTTTCGTTGTATTGGCAAATTCGAACGGTTAACCATAACGGATACGAAAACAAAGCCGCTATTTGACAGATCGTAAAAATAGTTTTCGTTCAATCCGCTTAACGTTAACGTTAAGTCGAATTCGACAAACATAACCTTTCTTTAATAGTTTGTGTTTATCATTGTGTTAATATACGTTTTGTATACTTTGTTTTAATTTCTTAGTACCCAAAATTCATTAATTTTCCCTGTAGGCTTTACAAAATTGGCTACTACAAAAGCCTATTTAGATGCATCGTCATATAGGAGGGGTTGTTGGCAAATATTTCTTCTAATGAAATAATAAATGCTTAAGAGAAGTTCGTGTCCTATTGGTATCCAATGGAGAGGGGTGATTCGTAGGTTAGGACAAAAAATAGAAGGCCTGTTAAGTCTTTACCAAGTTTCGCCCAAAAGTTTAGGGCTTCATCAGGGCTTGTACTTAAAAAATGATGTGGCCAGAATTATAAAAATAGTGCGAGATTTTCAGGATGGAACACTCGATTGCACATAATATAATAAATAATATTGTCCTCATCCGTGAAACGATTTCTCGATCTTTTGAGGGAATTTAGTATCTATTTCGAAAACCAAAAACATTTAAAAACAAAAACAAACCACAACAAAAACATAGGAAATACGCATGCTTTCCGTTTTCGCTATGGTTTTGTCTTCCGTCCGTATGCTCCCGGCACTTATCGGTAACGATAACGATAAATGCTAGCTCAAATGTCAAATTTGTCAAATAGCGGCTATCGGAATCGCTTTTAAAAGACAACGAAAACTCTCTAATAATTCTAGAACGTTTGGCCTGGGCTGGAACTCTGTAACGGATAGAGATTGTTTTTCCCATTGCTATGGCACTTGCTGTCTTCTTCTGTCTTGTCGAAATCAATAGAGAGGAGACATCAATAGAAATAAAGAAAATGTATATATTCGTTACAAAGTCCCAGCCCTGGCATTTCAGCAATCTTGAATCAGCATCGTTCTAAAAATTCTCAAACTTCGCTAACTTTCTCCGTAACTCCGGAAGCCTCAAGAGGAGAAAGGCAGGAAAAGCTGACAATCTAGAGAATCTGAGCACACTCAGTCTGATGACGAAAGCCCTAGCACTAGTACTATTACTGGAAGCCCCTACAAAAACTTCATAGATCTGGGCGACAATCAATACTTAAAAAAGTTGAGATGAAGCTGAAGCCCAAGCTCAATCGTCAGATGATATTGATATTGAGTGCTCGCTACTAAAGTGAATGAAAATGGTAATCCTTCAGAGAAGAAAAAAATCAAAAGAGAAACCAAGCAAAAGGAAATTAGTCGAAGAGGCGCTGCCTACTCCAGACAAGGATCCTCTTGACTTGATAGCTTAATTTATGGAAAAAGTTGATAAAGCTCAACTTAATATTCGTAAATTGGATAAATACGCGCTCCTGATTTATCATTATTCTATAATTTCCTTTACATCAAGAATTACAATGCGTTGGTGGTCGGTAGATACAGAGTATGCAGCTATTAGATTTTAGGTTCACAGATGAAATAATATCGTCAAATTGTATTAAAAAATGATTGAAGCGTCTCCAGTGATTCAGACAGATGCTCTAATTAGAGTCCACCCAGCGGCCCGATTGTCGTCTCAGGGAGTAGAGCTCCCCCCGATACAACAAATATTTTGCCCTTGTCAACGTAATCGAAAAGTAAATGAGAATGAATTCTCTCGGGGAGATCTACTCCCTGGGACGAGAATCCGGCCCCAGGTCACAAAAGGAAGAACAGGGACTTGCTGAATATACTATACTTATAAGATATTACAGCCACGAGAAAAATCTTATCTCTCCGTTTAGGTGCTTTTGCAATCTCATCTATCCAAAGAAACTTATGTAGGTACATAATTTTTGCCAAATAAAATTAATTTCTCACGTCCCTCATTAAAAAATAAAAAATAAAACAATAATAACAACAAATAAAAAAGAAAATAAAATATCTGTGACATGTAGACCAATGATTTTAAATATATGGCAATGAACAATTTTTTATTCACACATCCAAATACAGCCATAGGGCACATAATATGTTGTTGTTAGGTATATTAAGTACAAACAATTAAAAAACTCGGAGAACATTTAAAAAATTTGGCTTGAAAAAAGCTGTGTCTAAATAAAATCATTGTTAAACACCATAAAACATGTTTATCCCAAAACTTAATATGACCCTCTCTTATCCTGAAAAAATTCAATGATATTAAAAAAAGAATAGTTGAAAGGATAGTTGGTAGAAGAAAATAAAGTACATGTTTTGTAGTTAACAACATCTTGAATGGTCTAAAATATTAGAAATTTGCGCTTTTACTTACAGTTCAGTGGAGTGACAATAAAATACTCAATCGCGTAGGCTTAAGCAACATTTAAATAAAACAATGTCTATCAACTTAGCGAGACAACTTCGAAAAATCGATTTTCCATTATGCCAAGAATTTGCCGCTTTTTTGCCGCTAATTAAATGTGGAATTAAAAAATTTGCCGCTCTTTTGGTTTTTTCTTAATTACGTGTTTTGCTAACTTGACGTCAAGATAGCGAGACAACATCACTAAATATGTCAGCACTAAAAAACTAGGTACGTGAAAATTTGCCGTTTTTTTGCCGCTAATTAGTTGTGAAAATCAAAAATTTGCCGGTTTTTTTTTTTTATAAAAAATGAAGTTTGAAAAAAAAAACATTTGTTTCGCTAATTTGACGTCAAGTTAGCGAGACATTATCACCAAAAATGTCGGTAGTGAAAAATTGAGTGAATGGGAATTTGCCGTTTTTTTGCCGCTAATTAGTTGTGAAAACCAAAAATTTGCCGCTTCTTTTTACAAAAAATCAAGTTTGAAAAAAAAAACATGTTTCGCTAACTTGACGTCAAGTTAGCGAGACAATATCACCAAAAATGTCGGTAGTGATGAGTTGAGTGAATGGAAATTTGCCGTTTTTTTGCCGCTAATTAGATGTGAAAACTAAAAATTTGCCGCTACCTTTCTTTTCATAAGAAAATCGTGTTCGAAAATAAAATAGTGTTTTACTAATTTAACGTAAAGTTAGCGAGATCACTAAAAATGTCGGTAGTGATAAATTGAGTGAGTGGAAATTTGCCGCTAATTATCTCTTTTTCTACAAGAAAATAACGCGTTTGAAAAAAATATCATGTATTTCGCTAACTTGACATCAAGTTAGCAAAACAGTAAACAGTATCAATAAAAATGTCGGTAGAAAATTTCATTCATCTGTCAAAACTGGTATTCGAACCATAAACTGGGCTCTGTGTCATTTGCGCGACAGTCATTTGCGCGAGGGAGAAAAGCGCGATACTAAAAGCGCGAGGGACAAAAGCGCGACGGAACAAAAACGCGACTGCATAAAAGCGCGAGAAACAAAGGCACGAGCGAGAAAAGCGCGAGAAACAAAAGCGCGAGGGACAAAAGTGCGACGGAACAAAAACGCGAGGGAAAAAACGCAACGGAACAAAAACGCGACTGGAGTAAAGCACGATTGGACAACAACGCGAGGTATCTAACTATCTACGAGGACTGTAAGCAAAAGAGGGACACATCAAATTGTATCAATAATATTCAGAAAAATGCAGCCTTACTCAAACTAACCCATACTAACCTGTTACCCTAGTGTGATCTAGTCTTCGTTAAATAGAATTTTATTTGAAAAACAAGGCGCGGTCAAGGGACCCTACGCTATAAATAAATTTACTGTTTTTTTGGATAAAATGCTAACTTATGAGTACTAGATCGCACTAGGCGGACGGGTTATATTGGGTTAGTTTGAGCAAGTCTGTATTTGCTTTATTATTATTGGTTCAAATTGATGTCGCAATACAGACTCAAACTAACCCAAAATAACCCGTCCACCTAGTACGATCTAGTCCTCGTAAGCATTTTATTTAAAAAAACAAAGTTAATTCACTGATTGATTGCTCAGGGTCTCTTGAGAGCGCAGTGCTTTTTAAATAAAATGCTAACTCACGAGGACGAGATTGCCCTAGACGGACGGGTTAGTTTGGGTTAGTTTGAGTAAGTCTACATAATTTTGATATTGGAACAATTTGATGTTTCCCTCTTTTGCTTAGAGGTCGTCGTTGTAAATGTCGCTCTTTTAATTTGTCACTGTTCTAAATCTCGTTCTTTACATATGTCGCTCTTTTGATATGTTGCTGTTTTTTTTAGATGTCGCCATTTTGAATATCGCTGTTCCAAATGTCGCTATTTTGATATATCCCTTTAACAATATGTCGCCTTTTTGATGTTGCTATTTTAAATATCGTTCTTTTGAACCGGAGCCACCAAAAATATCTTGTATTTTGGAAAACGATCTCCAGTTCTCGTAGTAAGGCACTTCGCGTTCTTGGCCAATCGGGCTTTATCCAGTCGCGATTTTGTTCTGTCGCTCTTTTGTCTCCTCGCGCTTTTGCTTCTAGCGCTTTTATCCAGTCGCGTTTTTGCGCAGCCGTGCGCTTTTGTCCCCCGCGCTTTTGTCCCTCGCGCTTTTGTTTCTCGCGCTTCTATCCAGTCGCGTTTTTGTCCATCGCGCACTTGTCCTGTCGCGTTTTTGTTCCGTCGTGATTTTGTCCTTCGCGCTTTTCGTATCGCGCTTTTCTCCCTCGCGCAAATGACACAGATCCCATGCATAAACTGGCATTTTTTAATTGTTGATTTCAACAAATCAGATTACGATTACGTGATAATTTGTACTAGTGCAGGATTATCGGATTGGATAATTGCTTACTAACGGGTGGCATTTGACATTTTTTCTGATTGCTGACATTTTATACTTACGAGGATATACTAAAAATTTAAATTTTTGATTCATGAAATTCTCTCATAAAATACAACTTGAGCAATGGAAATATATCTATAATTTTTGAGAAATTTGCTCTCATGCATTTTTAACTGGAAAAGGCACTCGTCCCTCGTGCTTTTTTTCAACTAAAAATGCATTGGGGAAAATTTGCCAAAAATTATCGATAATTTCCATTTTATCCCAATTTGATTTTATTTCTAATTTTATTTTATTTTCTGTATAAATGAGCACACGATATTTCGCTTTCTGATTTTTGAAACCTATAAGGCCTCAATAGAGTTTTCCTAAGCTAAAGAAAAAAAAAATGTAAAACTATTCTCAAAAAATTTAGAAATAAATATTTGCTCCAACAAATGTTGAGTTTCACTAATTAAAATATACTTACAGGCTGCATAAAAATCAAGGGTGGGAGATCATTTACTTTTACTCACCTAATTTTATACTGCCCTTCGTTTTTTGTGTTGATGTCGGTCTAACTTAACGGCAAGCTTGCGAAACACAAGTTTTTCTCAAACACGATTTTTTCATTGAGAAAAAGAGTGGCAAATTTTTGGGTTTTCACATTTAATTAGCGGCAAAAAGCGGCGAATTTCCACAGCTTTTCTCTACCACTCAATTTTTCTCTACCGACATTTTTAATGATACTGTTTTGCTCACTTGATGTCAATTGAACAATGATATTTTTTTTCAAACGCGATATTTTGCACTCACTCAATTTATCACTACCGACATTTTTAGTGATCTCGCTAACTTTACGTTAAATTAGCAAAACATTATTTTATTTTCGAACACGATTTTCTTATGAAAAGAAAGGTAGCGGCAAATTTTTAGTTTCCACATCTAATTAGCGGCAGAAAAACAGCAAATTTCCATTCACTCAACTTATCACTACCGACATTTTTAGTGATATTGTCTCGCTAACTTGACGTCAAGTTAGCGAAACACATGATTTTTTTTTCAAACTTGATTTTTTGTAAAAAAAAGAAGCGACAAATTTTTGGTTTTCACAACTAATTAGCGGCAAAAAAAACGGCAAATTTCCATTCATTCAATTTATCACTACCGACATTTTTAGTGATAATGTCTCGCTAACTTGACGTCAAGTTAGCGAAACAAATGATTTTTTTTTTTCAAACTTGATTAAATATGGAAAAAAAAGAACCGGCAAATTTTTGGTTTACACAACTAATTAGCGGCAAAAAAACGGCAAATTTTCATCTACCTAATTTTTTACTGCTGACATATTTAATGATGTTGTCTCGCTATCTTGACGTCAAGTTAGCAAAACACGTAATTAAGAAAAAAACCAAAAGAGCGGCAAATTTTTTAATTCCACATTTAATTAGCGGCAAAAAAGCGGCAAATTCTTGGCATAACGAAAAATCGATTTTCCGAAGTTGTCTCGCTAAGTTGATAGACATAATAAAACATAGGGTGGCATACAAAAAAATACTATATAAATATAGATTAATTCTCTGAAGGTATTGTAAGTAGTTATGTGTATGTAATTTCTGTTCCTTTCTTTTTGAGGTGCAAGATGTGTCCACTTTCAATTTAAATTTGCCATCACATTACACCTTAAATCTAATATTCTAGCCCTGATGATACTTTAAAGCATTCTAGCAAAAAGGTTATTGGCAAGTTTTGTATTTATTATCTTCTACTCACTATCTTTCACTATTCAACATACCAAGACACAATTGATCTTCAGTTCCCGAGCTGGATCTGGACGTGGTGGAGTACGACCCCAATAGTTCACAACACTTAGGCCCCATTGGGCCCCTTGTACATCCTCCCAAGTCCTGCTACTCCATTCAGGCCATCCCCCAACCTAAAGCCTTGAAAACGCGGAGAGGCCTGAAGAGGCTTTTCTTTGATCTTCGGTTAGAAAGAATTTGATTCAATCGGTACCATAAAGCCATTACTTATAATAATATATGTACAACGACTAGACAAAAATTCCCAAATGAGAAGTTCTTGCCCAAGATAGAATGTGATTGAAATCAATTGAATATTTAGCAAACCAAGGAAATGGTAACGTTAATGCCTAAATTTCCGTTGTCAGCGAAGTGTTGGGCAATTGAGTTATCAAATACCAAACAATCAGAACCCATTATAGCAGAAGCTACTCCTTCGTGGCTGGAACGGGGCATGGCTTCCCAAATAAGGCGTCTTCTATTACCATTTAATTCCAATCTGAAAACAATACCAATATTGTATTATCTGTAAAATAAATTAGTTGAGATGATGTTTCTCATTTGAAGTATTTTAATTTCAAAAGAGGGCCTCTGTTTGCCTACTTGTTTCTTGTTGTCTAAATCAGTGTTTGTGTATAATAGCTTCTGTATTTTTGAAGTAGAAATGTATTATGACAAAAAAGCTTTTGCAAAGTAGGTATCGTAATAATCTCTACAATACAAAAAAGGAAACATGATTATTATAGGAACAAAATAGAAAATAGTGGCGACATATATATAAAATTGTGTCAGAGGTGTCCAACAAGAACTAGAAAAAACTAAAGATAATATTATGTAGTATTGCAATCAAAAATAATAATATCGGAAACCACCAGGGACCGTATTCTCGTAACCCGAGGGACATCGATCTCAAGAGAACGAATTGCTCTGTCTTAGTCGCCCATATTGTTATTTCCATAATACTGACAAAGACTGACAATCGTTCTCTTGAGAACGCTATTCCCCGGTTACGAGAATACGGGCCCAGGATGGCTGATTTCTGTGATAAATACTCTGCAAAAATAGGCGTTGAAATTTGTGAAAAGAGTACATCAATTATTGCTCCGACCTTGATCGAATCAAGTGCGCTTTCTTTTATGTTTCTAAGACCAACGGACTTAATGGGAATAATATACACATCTTGATACACACAAACTCACTGAAAACTCAACGCGCTCCAGGAATTGACGGAGTCAGCTAAAAGATAGCCAAATGAGCACTTAACCACACCCTTGTTTCAAATAATAAATATAATTTTTTGTACTGGCAAAGTTCCAAGTAATTTTAAAACTGCAGTGGTAGCGCCTATTTATAGATCTGGAGATAAAACATACAGTCAGGATATAAAGTCCGTCGCCCCCCTCCTCTAACTCTCGGTATACTGCAATGAAATTTGAAATGATGATATGTGAGCAAATTCTCCATTTTTTGAAAAACAAATGACAGCTTCAGCTGTCAAAATAACAACTGGGCGCAGTGTTCGTTCTTTCAGGTAATTCTTGGACCTGTGTCAAGAAATTGACTCTAGAGGGTCTAAATAAGGTCAAGGACTGGCTGGACGCTTTCAAGTTAACCCTCAAGTTAACTTCAACTATCAACAAAACTAAATTAATTGTATTCTCAATTACGGCTGCAAATCGGCTTAACTGTCCGGATATCTATATTGATAAACTGAAGGAGCATATCAGTGGTGTAGCCTGCATTGAATATTTGTTATTATTATTATTAAGTTGAACTTGAAATAAGATCAACATGTCAACAACCTAAAAAAAAATGTTAATGAACTGATTTATAAATTTTATATTACCTAGGTATTAGAGAAATATTGAGCTGAAGGCTTCTCATTTGCAAACATGTCATATAATGATATTTCAATCAATAGCACTGCTGATATATGGAATTCCTCTGTAGACTGTTTCCGGTAGTCTTTCATAATGAATTTGATAATGAATTTGACTGGTGATAGTGATTGATAATGTTCCAAGCGATATTATAACAAATCTCTCAGAGCAGGAAGTACTTAATTGATTGAAAAAACTAAAACCTAAATCCACAACAAGGTCTGATTTGATTCCTGCTTTTATTATCAAAAATTTTCGCATTGTTCTTCAATCAATCAGCTAGCGACTATAAGCAGATAACATTATGTGCTGAGCGAGGTGCTGAGTTAACACACATTATATTATACATCATAAACCTGAATAGTAGTCATTAAATATGTATTCAAAAAAGTGACCATATTTAATATAAAGCCAGAGCACTCAATTAAATCTTGAAGAAAAAGAGTGTAATGATTTACCATGACAAGTTAAAAAACACAAGTGTCACTCAATACCACTGTTAAATGAACAACAAACAATCTGACGAGTTAAGCACATTATAGAAGTTGAATAAAACTACAAAGGAAACTATTATTATTGTCCTCAACAACAGGTTCCACTCTAAGAAAAAGATGGTTGTGGTAAATAAAAAATAAATAAGTTATCACTCACCGGTATGCAAATCGTTCAGCTTGTTTTCTTGAACCAATAAGTTGAACAATAGCAAAGAATTGAGTATGCCCATCACTTTTTTCTTGTTTTTCTAAGACCAGCATAAAGTGGTGTCCAAAACAGCTCTGCATCATAACCCAATCAACAGCTCCTGCTAAGTTAATCTCTGTGGCGAGAAACACAATATCTTCACCATTAAGAGTGGTAATATTTTTATGGGAATGTTGCAAGTGAACCATTACTTTGTCAAGTTGACCTTGCCAAGAACAGGATGCGCCAGGGCAAGGGCAACTGTATGGCCGGAATTCACAAACTTCTTCATGTTCGGCTTTTTCATTCAAACCTAAAGACATGCGACAGCCTGTTGATTTATGCTTGCAAGGAAACATTAGATTGTTTGCAACTTTTTCCATGGCCAAATTTCGAATATTTCCTAGTGTCCCTCGACAAGTTGGACAACAAGATAGTTTGGGACGACAACTTGCGCAAACTAAATGGCCCACCTGACATTGCATAATAGGAGGCAAAACAATTTCAAAGCAAACAGGACACTCAAAAAGAGCTGCTAATTCATCAGTCAAAGTGCCTGGGGCTGAGCCTAATGCAGAAAGTTGAGTCGCTGAACCTCCTGAAGAAGCTTCTGCGCTACTAATGCCTCTCCTCTTTTGGGCTGCCATCTTGTCTAGAAAAATAAAAACAACTCATGAGTTTAGCAATATAATTTATTTTAATCAAATAATAAAACGCTAAAAATGTATTAATCAGGTATAAGAAAAATTTCTGTGCAATTCAAAAATAGTGATCAATTCTGTGGCAGAAAGTTGAAAAGGCATGATTCAAATTTCTTAAAACAACTTCTTATGAAATTCCTCTAACAATGAAATTTAAATTTCACAAAAGCGTTTTCTTGCAAATGGCAAATTAGTTCAGAATTATAGATTTCTACCTCTTTTAGGTTTGGTCCCTTTGATCTCCCATAACTAGTTATAGGATTTTTACGCTATATTTAGGATGACGTCACATTTAGTAAATTTCTGCTGCCAACCTAACAAAACTAAAAGTACTTTTTAACGCATTTAAAGTAGGGGAATTTCAGAGGTTTTTGGTTGGTAACAGCGCGCGACGTTGCATGATGTGTATAAACATTTTCATTTCGTTATTTTTAGCTGTCGTCAGAATTATTGACATATGACATTCTGGTAAAATTATAAGAAAAAAAATAGGCATTGACAAGATTGTCTGACTTTGTTCGATGACGTCATCCTAAATATAACATAAAAAACCTATAAGATAAATGTTTAACTTCAGCACTGGTTATTAAACTTTCAAGTTCAATATCTAATTGTTTGCATGCATCATGGTGAAGCTTTTAGTTAGCGATAGTGACATGGCATGGATCTGGTCTGGTCAGATGCTCATGATAATAGGTCTTAAATGGATTTTGGAAAGGCGAAAGACAGTAGGAAAAAGGAAAAAAGCCTGGCGGGTAAGAGGAAAAGAGTCTATGTGAGTAAAGTCTAGTCGTCTAGTCTGTTGGTAGTTTTACTACCTGAAAAAAGTAAGAATCCCCTCAAATGAACCTACAGAATATATTTTTTTTGAAATCTGAGCGGCCTTTCGGAAGCGGTCTCAAGAGCAAAAACGCCACCCCCTGATTATTTACAGACATTAGTTTTCTAGTGGAATGATGCTTTGAATGAAGGAAAAATGCTTGGCGAAAATGAAGTAAATAAGTAAAGTGCTGTGCATTTTTAGTAGAATTTAAAAAACTATTTAGAGAATATGATTTTGATTCCATGTTTGAAATGTGTATTTGAAATTTATTGATAATGATGTAGACATGTACGTTTTATACTCAAATGCTATAAATAAAGATTATTTTTATCATAGTCACAATGTGCACTACTTAACCATATGCAGTCACTAATCCAGAAAGCAGGATAGCATCAACTTGATCTTTAGCACTTAAATCAATGCTTAAGTCTCCTAGAAGTACATCCAGGTGAAAAATGAGTCTGGTATGGCAAAGAGTCCAGCTTATTTTAAAATATCCCTATAATTCAAATACTGAAAAACTAAAAAAAAAAAACATAAGAGGAAAAGAGTAAACTTTTTGCAAAAGGATACTGATAGTTTGGAAGACCCTTCAATCCAGAGACAGTCGAACTCATCAATATTCACAAAATATTCTTAAAAAAAAAAAGTTTTTCCTGACGGTGACTGAATGAGTGCATCCTGATAATATAATATAGTTCAGAACACAAAAAACTCGTCCGGATCAGGGAATATTTCATATATTTCAAAAAAACCAAAAGTAATTATTAGTCCTGTTTCCTAATAATCTCAAGAATAATCTACACTGGTCAGCAAAATTAACGCACCACTTACTTATTTCTATTTTAATGAGGTTTGAATTGGAACTATGGATTGGCTAGCAAACCGTTCTGATTTTTACCCAATTGAGGATGGCTGGGACATGATCTGTCACCATTTTTAAGAGCTTCCTAACCTCCAACACTTTCAATGGGCTTACTGGAGATATTGTCAAAATATGGAATAATTTGGATTAAAGCGAGATAAGGCCCGTAATTTTAACATGAAAAATCGCTGCCGTGCTATTATTCAAAATAGAGGAGGAAATACCGGTTAATAAGTATTTTTAACTAAAGTTAAAAAATTTTTTTTTTTGAATTTTCTTGTTTTTTTTTTCTTACCTTCTTTTGAAATTTTATCTTTTGTTAATACCCTTATTAGGTCAGGATAAGAATATATTTAATCAAGACATAAAAATATTTGATCAAAATTATGAAATAAAAAATATTTTTCAAAAATAGTAGTGGTGCGTTAATTTTGCTGGCCAGTGTATATATCATATTCTGCAATATGACAGATAAGATAACTACACATAAGTAAGTGTCAAGTCCCTCCCCATGATGAAGCCTGGCTGTGAAAATGTGATATTTTTTTAGATTCACTGTGTCTGTTAACATTATCCAGATCTAAACCCATTTGACCTTCTGTAGAAGAATCTGAAGCTTGAACACGCTGAATGGTCCAATGTTCAGAAATAAGCGACGAAATATGCAATTTGTGGAAGGCATTAGGAGAACCTATCTAACAAAATGTCTTCTAGCATGTAAACAAAATCTTATGTATTGTCTTGGTTGATTTTTGGTTTGAGAATCATAAGTGAATTGGACAAATTCATAATGGCATAATCGTTATAACATAAGTACCTAGGCAATCACAACTCAACCCAAAACTTCCAGGAAATTGGGAACATCCAAAGTTTGGGTTTGTAGAAAATGATTAAATTAATGTACAGCCTGGAATACTGAAAATAATTAATTTAGATTTTTTCAAGTTGTTCAAAAATTTGTTGAAACCATGAGGCAACTTTAGTGATGAAAAAGATTTTTAATATTAGGTGTCTTTAATGCTGTTCAGTAGGTACTAGCCGAGGTACTGGCATTTTGGCCAACATCGTCAACATAGTGTTTGTTTGTTTAAAGACAGAATTAACCCCTTGAAAGCCTTTCAAGTTTGGATACATAATTTCTCAAGCTCTGCATTCTAATACTTGATACCTACTCTTGAGGATTTATTGTAATTTATGAGTTTTCCAATTCTACATGTTGACTTACCTATCATGACCATGGAACCTGCGCGATCACTCATATTTCTGTTTACCTTCAGTTTAATTTTGAATTGCCAGCAACGCCGAGGAGTGCGAAAGCGTCTATGAATATAATGGTATGGCTGTTCTCCTTCAGAATTTTCTGTTCCAGAAGTTTTATTTAAATATTTTCTCCATCTCAATTTTGTGGAGAAATTTTCGGGGGCTGCAACTGGAAGATTTTGGCTCTTCAGGTTCGCCAGATTTTTCTGAAAGAGTTTAGAAATAAATTATCAGTTATCTCTGGAACTTTGGGAAAAGTGGAATTTCAATACGAGAAATCCAATATGCAACGCAACAAAAGAGAAGAAATGACTCAAGGGGGTCCTCCACCTAAGAGCATAGCACTACTTATATAAATCCCCTGCCAATTTCACATGAAATAAAACTTATATGCACCAAACTTTGATTTTCCTACAAATGTTCCGAGAAATTAATACAAAACTCAGAGGGCTGTAATTTGGGAAGGAAGAAGTTCTTAGTTGGCAATAATATAATTTATTAAAATCATTAAATACTTATTACCTTTTTTAAGCAACCATAGCCAACTACTAATTAGCAGGTATTAATTTTTATTGAAAGGAAGGCACCTCGGAAGCCACTTTTGTTAAAATAGAGAAATAGAATTAATTAATATTGGAAAACATGTTTTAATAAATGATTTGGATAACATTATTATTAGGATTTTAGATGATAAATTAAATGCAAATGATAAGCTTTGTCTACTCACGTTATTGTTTTTTATGTTTATTTTATATAATAACGCAGATTAGAGCAGTCAAAGCTCCAAACCTACTAATTATTATAATATACTTATATATATTAGTAATAAAAAAGGATGGAAGGCTACACTTCGGTTCCTCATGACTGAAGAAATGAGGAATGTGACTAAAAAGTATATAAAAAGAATATAAAAATAATGTTAATATACACAAAAAATGTTTTTTTTTTTTGTAAAAATTAGCAAAACACTAGGACCCATGTCAAAAATGGTCCATAATGTCAATGTCAATGTCAATTGATACGCTTATGTTCCGATATCAACTGTCAGTACCGTCAGTACTTAATTTACTAGACGCCGTTCCGATATTATTTTTAGTACACTGGGGCGAGTACAGCAATGACACACCCAGTGTGAGTGTGACACCGGTGCGACGCCCTAGCTGTTCAAAAATGCTAGGCGGTGCTATGGGCCAATGGCCAATTGTCAATTCAGGCACACCCATAAAATCGTCGCACCCTGTGCGTTATTTCTGAACTCGGCCCTGGATTCAGTCGATTCAATAGTAGGTCTGTTTCTGCAGAAATCACAAACCAGACAGAGTAAAATTTCATTGGTTGAAACTAGTTTTCTGACTGTTTTAAACCAATGAAATTCGCTCTGACTGGTTTGTGATTTCTGCAGAAACAGGCTTAGTGAATGACCACAAAGAATACGCTATTGAAATCGGAACGGCAAATGACAGTAAAATCAGCACAGTAAATGGCAGTTGATATCGGAACATAGCCACTTCAGAGTCCAAAACAGAGCTGGTCAAGAAATCGATTCGAAACACAGTTTTTAATAAACGATTTCGACACTGGACTGGTCTACGATATAACTGAAGGGCCCTTTTCTCAATAGTTGTATTCCTTTCAAGAGTTTGAAACACTCGAACTACTCGCTCCGGTGTTTAGTAGCCCCGGATTTGCAGGGAACAGATGCGTGGTGCAACAAAAGTTGCTTTCCAGCTGTGTGTTTCAAGCACAGTGCAGCACGGTGTTCTGTGTTTGAAACGCAAAAGTTAGCAGCTTTCGAAGCGCAGTACGGCTGGAACACGAACACGCGCTTAGAGCATTTGCGCGCGCAAAAGCTCGATTGCGTGCTCAAAATGGTCAGCTGAAAGCGGCTATTATACTATTCCAAAGGAATAAGCGCGTGAAGCCCCGGAGCTGTTCCGGAGCTCCTCCTAGACAATTGGCTATTGGGCCCATAGCACTGTCTAGCATTTTTGAACAGCTAGGGCGTCGCACCGGTGACACACTCACACTGGGTGTGTCATTCCTGAACTCGCCCCTGGCGTTAAAACCAACCCGGAGGTGACTCGGTATTAGTTGAATTCCTTTCAAAAGCTTAGAACACTAGAGCTACTCGCGCCGGTGTTAGTCGACCCCGATTTGAAAGGAACAGACGCGTTGAATTTCGTGCATTTAAATGGTTTAGTTCGAGTTTGAGCACTTCAGGTATAAAAGACACTTTCGAAAGAAATAATCGCGTAACGCCCCGGAGCTGTTCCGGAGCTCCTCCTAGGTGTGAAAGGAATACCTACGTCACAACAGGCGATTTGGCGTGGCGTGGTGTGGGGCATCAGATTTGTTTCACACTGGCCTTATGATGATATGATAGCCTGTCGTAGTAGTGTATATTATCCTTGCCTGTGTAGTTCAAATCCCAAGCCCCCCACCATGCCAATGCACTGACGCGTAGCCAGCGTGTCGTTTCTCGCCTTGACGTAGGTATTATTTGCACCACCGGTCATGAATCCGCGGGCTCTTTCTTTATACATATTTTCCATACAGTAAAATGGGGTTACTTGGGACAAATTCACTTCCATTTTTTCAATAATGTGGTAATTTATCAGAGTTTTTAGGAAGGCAGAGCAACAATTCCTGTGTATAAAATTTCTTTCATATGCATTTAACCTATAAAGCACCATAAATGGCTCCTACTGTAAGAACATTTTGTAGAAAAAAATAAAATATTCACTGTCCCAAGTTACCCCGCATTGGGGTTAGATGGGACTGTACCGGTTTTACACCGAAAATGCATGTTAAACTACTCAGGGGTTACTTGGGACAGCAGAAAAATAAAAATAATACCCCAGCACACATCTTGAGTTGAAATTTTTTGTTCAGCGAATTATTTAGAGCGATGAAAAATCTGGGTTAACATCAATTTATTAAAAATATTTATTTATTCATTATAAAAATATGCAAAATATATGCAAAAATACTTAAATTAAAAATAATGGTGGGTGTAAATCAGGACCAGGGAAATTATCTTTAAATCGTCTTTCTACAACACCCTTAATATCTAGATATTCAGTCCTATGATGTATCATTTTCTGTTATTTTAACAGCAACCTTAAGTTATCTGTCACTGTTTATTCTACACGTAAAAATAGAGACAGGTATATATTTTGAGCTATAACACAACTGTTAAAATAACAGGAGAGGATACATCATAGGCCTGATTGCTTCACAATGCGTCTTATTTCAAAGTGAGTTAAAGGAAATCCCCATTCAGCTGCTCTAATAAGTTCATCTTCTTCCGCTTTTTCCAGAACTGTAGGTCTTCCATATCTTCCTAAATTATGATTTTTACATCTTCTCTGTAAAGTTGATTTGTTTACCTTCCATTTGTCGGCTGCTGTTTTATAGGACTTTCCAGATTGTACGTCTTCTATGGCACTTTTCATATTGTTTCCTTCGAAGGCGTGATATTTATTAGAACCTACTTTGCGAATATATTTTCTTGGCATGTTGACCCCTGAAAACAAAACGGATTAAATAACATGGGGTAACTTGGGACACGGCCTAACTTGGGACAATGGTTGTCCCAACTTACCCAAAATCAGGAATTTTTTTGAAAAAATATTTCAAAATCTAAAAAAAATTGTCTAAAAGTGGGCAACGAAATTGGCAGTATTTAGAAAACATACAAAATTAACTAAAAAGTGTAATTGGACTTACCTGTTTACCTTTTGACTCCCTCTTCCAGATAAAGTTTTCGACCATTTATTTTTGCTTTGCTTCTCACCACCACTTATGTTTTTTTTTATACTTTTGAAATATCATTAATTTATAAAGAATTCATTAATTTAATCATCAACAGGTTGCTCTTCAACTAACCAAAACATTAAACTGAAGATATGTTTATATTTGCGTTGTTGACGCTAGTAAAATTAGAACATCCGAAGTTGCGTCCCGAGTAACCCCGACGTCCCAAATAACCCCATTTTACGGTATACATTTTTCTTTAAACATACTTGGTTTTACTACATTAATTAACATTCTAAAACAACTCTTTTTTAGTTATCGTTTGCATCTTCCTCTTTGCCTGTTATGTTAATCAAAATTGAATAATATTTTTCATCATAAATTCAAATTCTAAACTACGACCGCTGGCGCAAACAGCTGACGACTTAGATTATGACGTCGACAATGGTGCTATACCATGACCGCGATTACCAAAAACGTGGCCTACAAGCAATCCTGTAGTAGTGTGTATTATCCTTGTTACCAGAGACGATCTATTAACTTTAGGAACCTTGATTTCATATAATAATAATTATTACAATAATTATTAAAACCCAGAACCCTATTCGCAAATGTCAAACTGAAGAGAACACATGCGGCAATTTCAAAATGTGGATTCTAATCCGAGAATATAGTGTTTCAAACCTGTTTTGAACCATTTTCGAGAAAATGAACGCGATAATACAGCTCTGAGTTTTCATACTGTATACATAATGGAAATGTGTCGAGTTCAGAAATACCGCACAGGGTGCGAGTGCGATTTTATGGGTGTGCCTGAATTGACAATTGGCCATTGGGCCCATAGTACCGTCTAGCATTTTTGAACAGCTAGGGCGTCACACCGGTGTCACACTCACACTGGGTGTGTCATTCCTGAACTCGCCCCTGTTCGCACAAAAAACACAAACCAGTCAGAGTGAATTTCATCGGTTGAAACTAGTTTTCTGACTGTTTTCAACCAATGAAATTCGCTCTGACTGGTCTATAATTTCTGTGCGAACAGACCTAAAGAACATCTTTTTCAACTGCTAAAATTAGAAAACAGCGAAGAAGAAAAGGCTTGACTTTAATTTAGTATTCCGAATTTTGATTCGGAATACTCAAAATCGTCAAAATGAAGCTTGACGACGACATGTCAACTATTTCCCAACAAACACATTTCCTACGGCCCATGCAGCATCGTACGAATGCCGCTTTGCCGGATAACAGGCATCTGCCCAACTAAATGAAAAAAGTACTGGTCCGAACCGTATATGACCGCCCGGCCGACAGTCGAGCCGCAAGTCGGCCGACAGTATGAGCCAGCGTTGGGCCGATTCAACGTCTGAATCGTTACATTGGGCCAACAGCATATTTGATGGATTTTCATCACAGGGCCATAACTTTATACATGGTTGTAATACCCAGAATGCTAGTAAATAATTTCAAAAATCGAATTTTACTTCTTCAACTTGGTATGACACAATAATTTTTTTCTGCTGTTCGTTTTTCTTGGTAGTAGGAATCGGAGCCTTTCTGGAGAACTAAAATTTCATACAAATTTAGGTTTTATCGAAACAATCATTGATATATAAGTTACATTCCTCCTAAATCTTTAAAAATGACAAGGAAATAAAAATGCATTTTTATAAAAATATTTAAAATAGTTAATATTTAGGTAATACAATACAATATTATAGGAAAAAAGTCAATATTTCATTAGCGTATAGAAATAAATAAATAAATTCTTTGGAAGATATACAAAATAAACTTAAATTCTAACACATAAACTTGGAAAATAGAGAAAAAATCCATCATTTCCATCTCGAAAGAAGAAAAACAACATTTTTTAATGTACATGCGTTATTTTAATTACAAATATACTCACCAAGTTGTCTCCGACAACACAAACAACACAATAAATTAATTCCAAAATTATTGAGAAATTACCCAAAGCAAAAGACCAAGAACAAAATCAAAATACAAAAACGAAGCCACAAACATACGTCGCCAACGAGGTAATGGCCGTCAATGTCGTTCAGGTTCAACAATGCACAGAACACAAATGAAGAACGGGTGCGTGGTGCGCCTGCTCGAAATTTTCAAGGAGGCTGGGAAACATACATATATTGGCAAACTGCCGGTCCAGTGATATAGTACCAGTTGTATAATTTGAAATCATTAATAGAAAAGCCCCGACGCTATGCCAGCGCTCAAATGCCAACAGCCGGAATTCAATGATCAAAAACACAAGGGGCCAACTGCATTTTGCCGATGCCGTCACTTACCCATCGTTCAAGGCATTCGGCCGATTGTTTACCGTCAGTTCGTGTTTGCTGGGTTGGTAATCATTTCATAAGTCCTATTTTACATTTATCTTTACCGATTACCGATTAATCGCCTTGTAATTTGTTTTCGAATAACGGATTATTTTCTCTTCTCGAAAAACATACATTTTAGTTTTATTTTCTTTTATGACCTAACAGCGAAGTATCAATCTTAGTTCTCCATTTACAAGATTTTTATTTTATTTTATAACCATAGAGCATTCGCCATGAAATGAGAAAACATTCAATTAACCAGATGATCGATTAATTTTACTTCGGTTAACCAGTGTGAAATTTAACCGGTTCACTAAAAAAAAAAATATTTTCCGCCGGTTGAGCATCCCTTGAAGTTCGTTTGTCAGATATTCAATTAATGTTCTGAACAATTATTATTCGCACTGGTCACGACACACGTCACCAATATTTTGCACTCAGTACAACTCAGTGCGAGAAAAATAAACAAACCACAAGGCATAAACCACAATCCTGCATGCACCTGAGCTGGGACTTGAACCTATGCGATGCCGATTGCCAATACAATAGAGCTTTGTTCGGGTTTGAAAAAAGGACGGTTCTAGAACGGTTCAAAACAATCGCACAGATTGGCCGTTTTCGATTCGCAACCGTTTCGGCCTCTGGTTGGCTCGGATATGAGAGAAGTTGGTTCACAGCTTTTGAATTTGGTCTGTCATGGAAGACGTTAGAAAAGCAAACCGAATTTTAAACCAAAACTCGAACCAACTCGCCTATATTATTGAAATTTGTGATGGTCGAGCCGTTGTCATTTTGTTGATTGATAATTCGATTTTTTGAACCGTTCTATTTATTTTCTATTCTAGAACCGTCCTTTTTTCAAACCGGAACAGGCCCTATTAAATGAATGAAAACCTCTTCAAACGTCAATGTCAAGCTTCAAGCTTCAATTCGATGGCTTGTTTATCTTTTTTTCTTACCGTCTGGCAGAGGCGTCTGAATGTCTGAATGTATCCATACCATCTATGCTTACATATGGTCGTATTTGATTTTACCTAATGATCTTCAAATTTGAAATTTTCCAGATAGTGTTGTCCAATTGTACTGAGAATAACTTCAATTTTCCTATCCTTTCTGACAAGTAAGTTACTATAAGCTAGATAATTTTAATTTTAGAAATGTGCTCTGCTCACTTGATTTATTAGCAGAGCATCTATTCAGAAGTCGTCAGAAACAAAATTACAATATGAAAAACGAAGGTGCTTTTTAGGTGCTCTATTTAAAAATTTGGTGCTGTTTTAGTTTTTTCGAAATTTAATTTTAAAAATGTCGAGGGGTTAATTCACCTAACAAAATTTGTACACCGATTAACAGAACTAACTGAGATATTTCCATGTATTAACAGATATTTCTATATACCTAATAACAAGTTATTGCCAACTATTTCCACATATTGCCAGGTATTTCCCTAGTATTGTCAGATATTACCAGGTATTGCCATGCTATTGACAGACTAAAATCAAATATTTGTCTCGCCAGAATTCTAGGTATTGACATATCCACAGGTATTTACATGTTATTAATAGGCATCAAACAATGACATTAACATTATATTGCCTAGGTATCTATGTACAAGTTTTGACATATATTATCTACGTAATTAACAAGTAGGTATTGCATAGTATTGACACTATTGACATAGTATTTACCTAGTACTGACATATATTAACCAGTGATTTGTACACCGATTAACAAGGTGAAAAACCCCTCGAAAAATGTGCTCTGATCACTTAACGTTCTGTTAGCAGACCATCTATGATAAACTCATCAAGAAGTATATTGCTAAGCCTCTTTTTACTTTAATGGCCATTTGTACCAACCTATTGAGGGAGCCCTTATTGATAAGTATTCCTTAAAATGACAATTTTAGGGCTGGTATTCCAATGTTACCTTAATTCAAGACTTACTTCATGTACCCTTAACGTTAAGGTGAACTTGAAATCAGTTCATTCAGGTGGCTTAGGATCCACCTTGAGTTGAGGGAATTTTGGTATTCGGTGAAACTTGTATTAAAGGATGACTTGACGTTATTCTGTACCTTAAGGTAAAATTGAAATACCGGACCCTAGATGGGAAAATGCCACTTTAAGGAATACTTATTGGTAAGGCTTGAGATTGAACCCGTACCTATTACTTTGATATAGACTTTTTGTTTTTAGTTTTTTTGTTTCCGATTTCAGCTTGGTAAATGAGACTCTGTCGTTGTAAAATAAAGCATATTTTGATTTGATTTGAGAAATTTGCTGCAGAATGGAAAAACATTGATATGGAATAAGGACTTAAAAACCTGCTTTAAAGTGTCATTCAAAGACTTCAATAATTTCAACATCATTCTAAAGAGAAATACAAAAACATTCAAGGTATAGTTTTATGGTTTTATTGTGAGTTTTCCTTCCTGTGCACCCTATAAGTGTTTGTCTAATTTTGTTTCAGCTACATATATCAGACATGGAAAAGAGGCTGCAATCCTTCAGATTACCAAGAGATCTTACTTTGGGTGGCTCAAAACCCAAGAAAAAGTTTGTTCCTAATCTAAGTGTGGCTAGAAATAAGGATAACGCAAATGGGTAAATATTCAATACTGTATTCAATGTTCATATATTCTAAATTTCTAACCTATATGCCATTATGACTGATCACTTCATGGTCGAATTTCAGAACGGTTCTAAAACTGACAGACTAGGAACATTTTCATGAATAGGGCATGCGAGAAGCCAAAATTATTTCTGGGGGGTTTTTGACCCCGTTGAATCTTAAAATGCCTGTTGCCAAAGCAAAAAATGGACCGGAAGCCCATTTCTGTATGTCTAGTAGGTTGTCCTACCACTTCTTTGCATTCAAACGTGATTCTTTAATTTTCTTTGATGACTAATGCTTGTTAGCAATGTAACATATGCTAAATTCATGTCCCCAAGGATCATTCAGAAGATGCTGGCTTCCAGATGCCAGTTTATCAGAACCTCTTGCAGGGTGACGTCTCTTAAGCTGGAAGAGCAAAGTCAGCAGAATCGGAAATCAATACATGGAACATTAAAGGCTAACTAACTAAATGCCCCGATGAGAAATTTAATGCTCCTTAATTTTTCGCGAAAATGAGTGTTCTGCTAGCTTTAACTTAAGCTAGCAGAACATGAGTGAAAAAGTGGCTAAAATAACGAAAATTGCAATTCCACTTGCACAGACAATAAAGGCTCATTGAAGGCTCTGAAAATGCACCAATATTGAATTTCAGGCTCAATTACTTTTTTTTGTGAAAATGCAAAAAGCGCGATGTGTGAATGATGTCGGCCAAGCATGGCAGAAAAATCTCTCAGATGGTGAAAATCAGCGTTCCGATAGTACAGTCGTAGTGAATATATTAAAGACTAATTGAATGCTGTAATGAGAAATTTTAGGCTCCTTGAATTTTCGCAAAAATTGCTATTCTGCTAGCTTCAACCTAAGCCAGCAGAACATGGGCGAAAAAGTGGTTAAAACAAAGAAAATTTCAGTTCCAGATGCACTGATAATAAAGGCTCATTAAAGGCTATGGAAATAAAACAATCGCGAATTTCAGGCTCAATTACTTTTTTGTGAAAATGCGAAAAGTGGCGATATATGGGTAATGTCGGCAGAGCATGGCAGAAAAACCTGTCCGACAGTGAAAATCAATGTTCCGGTAGTGCAGTCGTTGTGAATACATCAAAGGCTAATTAAATGCTGTAATGAGAAACTTTAGGCTCTGCTAGTTTCCGCGAAAATGGCTATTCTGCTAGCTTTAACCTAAGCCAGCAGAACCTGAGCAAAAAAGTGGCTAAAATGACAGAAATTGCAATTCCACTTGCACTGATATTCAAGGCTCATTAAAGGCTCCGGAAATACACTAATCGCGAATTTCAGACATTTCTAAACTTACCAATAATAACCTGGTTGGTTTGGGTACTTGGCAATTTTAATCAGACTTTCCCAAACCCACTAAATTAAAAAAGTAATTGAGCCCGAAATTTGCGATTGGTGCATTTCCGGAGCCTTTAATGAGCCTTCAATGTCTGTGCAAGTGGAATTGCGATTTTCATTTTTTGATCACTTTTTCGCTCATGTTCTGCTGCCTTAGGTTAAAGCCAGCAGAATAGCCATGAAATTGGCGGAACCTAAAATTTCTCACAACAGCATTTAACTAGCCTGTATTCACTACAACTGCACTATCGGAGCACTGATTTTCACCATCTGAGAGGTTTTTCCGCCATGCTTGGGCGACATCACTCACGCATCGCGCTTTTTGCATTTTCACAAAAAAAAAAATTGAGCCTGAAATTTGGTATTGGTGTATTTCGAGAGCCTTTAATGAACCTTTAATGTCTGTGTAAGTGGAATTGCAATTTTTGTTGTTTTGGCCACTTTTTCGCTCATGTTCTGCTGGCTTGAGTTGAAGCTAGCAGAACACTCATTTTCGCGAAAATTCAAGGAGCCTAAAATTTCTCATTAGGGCATTTAATTAGCCTTTAATGAGCCTTTAATCCTTGCGTTCGGTATTTTGCTCAAAGAGCAGAGCGTGCTGAGCGGAGTCGTGATCACGTGACCAGTGAGCGATCAGAGCTGTTGAGCGCTGTATAAAAGTGCCAGAAATATTAATAAACGAACGCGAATGAGACTGCACCGAGTACACTTTTTAAATAAACGAACGGTAAAATCAAGCTCGGAGAACTCGGACCAAAATAACGAACGCAGGGAATGTTCCATGTATTGATTTTCGATTTTGCTGACTTTGCTCTTCTAGCTTAAGAGATGTTGCAGGGTGAATGCCGTACATTTCAGACACAAGCCTTGTTATTTCGCCGCGCCAGAGAAAAGGAAGCGCCCAGCGTTGGAAAGAGGTCATATTTTGGATTATACCATGTGGGATGAAAATGCGCCATAGACCCGATATGCGAGTCCATGGGCTTTCATGTTAAACCGCATCTTCAATTTCCCAACTGGAACCTGGTTTCTTTGTTATATAGGCATACTGAAATTCGCACAGTTTCCGAAGGTGCAATTCCATTGCAAAAACAGAGCTAGAGATTTCCATGGAAACATCCTATACTATCTAATATCTGGAATTACGTGCTTCAGGTGGGTCATATGCCTAAGACATTATCATGTTCAGTTTCAGCGGTGTCGAAAACCCCTCGATGTACGCAGATTCCGTATATAGAACTTATAGGAATGTTTCAAAATATTGCCGCCATATTTGCCGCCATTTTTAATTAGGGTTTTAGGTTTCAGCAGGGTCAAAAACCATCAGAAATGTCTCTCAGCTTGGATTTTGAATTCTATTCCCAGACTAATAAGTTCTGGCATAACAAGCTTTAGCATACTGTTTCAAGCCTAAAATTTTCGCAAAAATTCACTGTTCACATTTAAAAATTAACAAAGACGCGTTGTACAACTGAATCAGATCAAGCTGTAAATTAAAGACCGCACCTGTTTCACCTGAAATCCCTACAGTATTATTGAGGCAGCTCAAAACTTATTCCTGAGAAAATCACCCTCTCGGGTCTAGCTCTTTTTATTTTTGTTCAGAGTTTTTGTATATTTCCAGGCTTTCATTTATAAAAATTGAAGACAAAAAAAAATTGGTTCCCACCAAAAAGCCTACAAAAAACAGCCAAAAATTTGCAGGAAAATCTGAGAGATTTTTACAATCAAACGGAATCTTCTCAGAAGGTATTGGCAGTGATGTAAAAAAAGCGCGAAATGAAAGAACATATAATAATTCTCCTAGGAACGAACCTATTAATGGGATGACAATACCAAAACTAAAAAAGGATAAGTGGCAGGTGAATAAATAAAACATATTTTATATAAGAACCAACAGTAGCTCTAAAAGTTACCTACTCAAATAAACTTTTTTTGAAAAGCAAATGATTATCTTTAGTCTTCAAATATTCAGGAAGCTAAGAAAAAAAATTGTGCGATTTTATTATTTAAAAGTATAAACTGCTGTTGTGCACAGTTGTACAGAATCCTTCTCTATGTTTATAACACCAGTTTCATGTCAGATGTAGCAGTGAACAACAAGATATTGCAGCTAATTTTCAAAGATTGCCAAAAAATTTGAAAAATATTTTTAAAATATTTATCTTATAATTATTTCAGGTTAATCATAAAAATGAAACAAGAGTTTACGAGGACCTCATGGACTGTGAGTCTTCATCAATTGATAATGAAATATTAGCTTTTGCTCCAACAGTATGGAATGAAAATGATTTTAAAGGTAAATGATAGTATTTAATGAATTGTATTTTTCCGACTCTACAATATTACTTCTTAGGTCTTTCTAGCACTTTATCTAGCACTAAAACTGAGTTTACATTGGAACCCAAAATAGATTTAGATAGACGTGAGTAAGCAAAGGTTTCATTAACTATTAACTTATTTTAATTTTTATTACAGTTAAAATTCTGGCAAATGATCTCCCAAAAGAATTTCAAAATGGCAATCATTTTAGTGATAGTAATCCTTCAATAGCATTGTGGAATGTAAGTTTTATAAGATTTGGAATAAACTATAGTCCCCTCTTGAGTGTACAAAAACAGGCTTCCTTGGTCTCTGTAATGATGCAACGTGGTAGTAGCGGGGGTAGTATATTCGTACATCGATGCTACACCGAAGAGGTTATCAGAATTTTTTCATATATGACTAACTATTTTCAGACTTCAAAAAAAGTGCATGTGTTCTCAGTGAAAGCTTAAACATCAAGAATTCTCTCTAGAATGCAATCAATGTCAAAAAATGTTTTTTTTTCTTGCGAGGCACTAGGTATACTAGGTCACAAACTGTAGCTTACAAAAAGGACAAGTGCATTTTTTGTGATCAAGTGATCAAGCAGTCGACTGGTCGATAAAGCTAGTGGAAACCTATGTTGAGCTATAGAACTTACAAATGATAATAAACTCAGATTCGGATTAACTTGTAATATACCTACCTTCATGCTATTGAAACAAGGAAAACCCTCAAATACTGGTATAGAGATACATAGTTACATTTATTGAAAATTCTTATTTCAGTTTCCAGATTCTCTTGCCGAAAAAGGATTGAGTGAGAACCCAAATATAGACACATTGTTCGATTCTAAGCTAGCGAATATGCCAGAGGGTCAAATAGGAAAACTGAGAGTCCATAAATCTGGAAAAATTGATATTATTATAGGAGGTACTAAATATGAAATAGCGCCAACACCATTAGAATCATTACCAGAGGTAAGTATTACCTCATCAGTTTGATAGCAGGTGTAAACAGCTAGGTATTTTTACACACTTAGACCATTGTATTTTATAGAGTAGGTGGATTCACTAAATTTTTCACACCTACTGCCAAAGAACTAGTCGTGCCAATTCTTGTCATGTCCTGCAAGTCCGGTCATATCCTGACAGGTTTTAGTAAGCCCTGTCAGATAGGGCAACATCGTCTAGTCCTGATTGTTTATGCCAAGACCTGTTTACTCATGTGGCCGAATTATGTCTATTGTCGAGTTATATCATGTTGTCATAATTTCGAAAAAAAAAGAATGCAGAGGAAATAGAAATCCAGCTGACAGCTTCAAATATTTAATCTACGACAGTATCATTAGGTCACATTTAGCATCCTCATTTGGATGACATTAGGACCTGCGTAATAACAGTTCAATTTGAAAACCTTTTGAAGGAACTGGACCAGTCAATTACAACAGATGAAAAAAAATCCTTTTTTCCTTTTTATTTTTGTTTTCATTTTTTTCAATATCATGAACATCTCTTTGTCAACGGTATTCTTCAGTCTTTTTAATGTTCAAACTGGTTTGTCCTTAAAATTGTCGTTGTGTTTTATTTTGTTGCCTTTGTTATTCATACACTGATAATTCGTTGGCGCCACTCGAGATATCAAGTGAAACTGTTCTCTCTTCCAAGAGTATTTTTTATGCTCCATATCATGGATTTGCTTTTTATGTTTAACTTTCATTATCTTTCATTTTTATGCATACCAGATTGCATACAAACTGTGCATTGAGTATTTTTTTAAATACAAATGTTTAGTACATAATTCTTTACCAAACGCTAGGACAGTATTTCAGTATATTGGATTGCATAGAAAACTGTGCCTTGAGCTTTTTTTAAAATACAAATGTTTGGTAATTCTTTACCAAACGTTAAGACAGTATTTCGAATTTAGGGACGATTTAAAGTAACGGTGTTTTGCAAAAACGATATACTTTCAGAACTTTTTTCTACGATTTGTTCACTTTCTGTATGCAGAACAATATGGCCGATTCTCATCTAAGCAGCAGTGACCATTGATCACCATAATGTTGCTCACAATAAATTATTGTTTGGCTAGTGCGATGTCGTTTTGCTTAGATGGGAATGGTATGAACGACGCGTTTCGAAGTTTATTTCAATCCAGCTTGAGACCTTGTTGCTGGATTTCTTATGTATTGAGCTACCTATCTTGTTTCTTTTTTTTTTGGAGGTTAACATTTTGTTAGTGAAACTTGAAAGTATATCACACAAGAAAATATCCTGTTCCTTTTTTTTATGGTGTGAACTATTGATAAATCTGTTGGTCATTAATGTTAACTCTTTTTTTTTTCAGAGGGTTATTTCTATTGAAACAAACAAAAAAGACGTAGGAAAGGCTTTAGTACTTGGTGAAATTCAACACAGATACGTATTAAATCCGGAATGGGCTGGATTAGTACGTGGTTTTAAAAATATGTGATACAAATTAATTTAGTTAGAAAAAATGTTACAGTACAGTTTTATATTAGAGTTTAAGTTTCTTGTTAAATTTCTAAATTCAATAAATAATTTTGTTTTAGCTCCTAGGGAGTGAAACCCTGTATGTTCACAAGTATTGACATGCACTTACTTAATAAAGTATCCCATCATCACAACAGAAAGTAAAAACAACTCAAAATGGAATTAAGAATACACCAAAATAGGAGAAACATAAATACCTCTCTAACTCACTGAAAACAGCATTTGAAACTTATTCCAATTGCCAGCTTTTTAAAACTGTTTGTTGAGTTGTTTTATGTTAACATACAGATGTTCACAACATCTAGGTGCTACATAATATTATTTTTTTCACTATAAATCCATTGTATAAATCATAGTGTATGAAACTTTTTATCTATACTAATATAATATTGCTGGAGAGTTTGTTTGTTTGAACCCGCTTATCTTCGGAACTACACACCAGAATTGAAAAATTCTTGTATTTGATAGTCCAATTCTTGAGGAAGGTTATAGGCTATTTATCATCACTCTAAGACCTTCAGGAGCCGAGCGAAAAAAAAAAAAAAAAAAAAGTCAGACAGAATGCAGGGCAAAAACGAAATAAGTCGATGGTGGGAGGGCAGCCGCAATAGATAAATAATGAAATTTACACGGGTTTTTGGATTTTCACATTTTAAGAGAAGGAATTAGGGGGTGGAGGCTTTATGGAAGTATTGGTTTTTCAAAAATGGGCGCGAGCAACAGCTAGTATCCTTATGAAGTGGTTCCATTCACTAAATTGTGAGGGAAGTGTTGAACCCATTTAATATTAGGAAAGCAAATGCGCTGCATGATAATCTTTCCAGTGACAATGACTTGACTTATGAGCTAACATTGAAACAACGTCTTTTTTTGTGACGTGGAGCCCATGTGAAGATTTAGTTACCTATAGTTATAGAAAATACATATCTAATTGCCACGTTCCATGAAAGTCCCAACACTTTGTTGGAGACATTTTCATATTGTATCCAGTGGGCTGGACATTGTCGCAGGACTTATGTAATGTAAAAATATTGGTTCATTAGAACAACATTTATAGGCCAGGGCAGTTAGCGGAAAAAATGGCCTTCAGGAGAAGTTTTTGCAATCCATCAATAGTACTCTGTAAAAAAAAGTTACACCTCCTAGGATTATACCTTAAACCTAAGCGAAGACGGTGTTCTTAGAGCAAATAAGAACAATATTATTTTTATTATTATTCAATTCACAAGAATAACATTGACGGCTTTGGAAAAGATAAGTATAATACAATGTTTGATTTAAAACCCTCAAAAAAATAGTAAATAAATAGCCAAATTTGCCCAAACCAAGTATACCGATATGTTTCGCACAGCACAGGCCACTTTTTAAAATCCCATAAGGAAATACACGTATCGTCGCCGTCAGGCAGGCATGATTGACACGGCCTGGTACGCTAAAGTGTGCGACAAGCATATACAGGGGTGAAAATTTCAAAAGTAGCAATCAGGAATATCTCTTAGAAAAAAATACTAACAGGAAGATCTCAAATACGTATCGGGGGATTGGAGCAGGAACCAAAATGAGGTCCTCCTTTGAAAGGTTTTTTATTCCTCTTTAGAGGCGTGACCATTTCATTCCAGCTACAATATAGAACATATAATCACTTGACTCTTCATCTGGAAAACACAAAAACAATTTTGCCCAGCTAAGTTGAAGAGCATTCAGCTATTCTATTAAAGTCCCATTAGGCTGAATTCACTTGAAACCACGTTGTGCAGCTGACACCCAACAGCAAATCATAATTCAACCATTTCTCGCCGGTATTCGGTAGTGCCCCACTGCTACACTTACCTTCAATAGTATAATCTTGTAACAAATGAGATCCTAGCCTATTATAGCGTACGGCTTCCCCAGGGGACACCAATTAGGTAGGTACCAAAAAGAAATAGTAATCAAATAATGATTTGTTGCCCTGTGTTGAAATGATTCTTGCACAAGTTGATTCGTAATTCACTTTATATTTATATAGAATAATTATATAAAAATAGTAACAATAACTTAAATATATTTAATAACAAAACCACATATATACCATATGACTAATACATCCCATAAGCCGGTCCGCCAGTCGACTAACAGCCCGCGTACGTACGCCTGGATACCACGGCTGGCGTGGCAGCGCCGCCAGTGCAGTTCGTGACACTGCTACATTCCTCTCTCTTGGTTTCGAGATTTATTGATCCAGAAGGGTACACGAAGGGTTTGGACCAAGTTTTATCCTTAGTTTTGGTGCAGCATCTGGTGGAGGTTGACCTCGAGGAGGAGTACTTTCATCCTGAGCATCTGCTTCATTGCTGGACGGTGTGGATGGACTTTGAGGAGGTGTTCTTCTATCTTCGACATTTTCTTCACTGCTGGATGGTATTGACTGGGGCAGATCTAACCTGGAAGAATAAAGTTCAAAATTTGCAATGTTTTGCCGTATTGTATTTCCTGACAGATCTAACCTGGAAGAATAAAGTTTTAAATGTGCGATGTTTGTTTCCCCGTATTGTATTTCCTGTTGAGTTTGAAGTTAGAGTGACACCGCCTTGGTGTTTTCCTTTTACTGTATATAATTCATTCTTATACGGCGCACTAAGTTTGTTTTCCTTTCTCTCTGTCCTTACTAAAACGGTATCTCCTTCATTTATATTTGATGTCTTTGCTCGCCGCCTTTTGTCAGCATATTCTGTTGTTTTGGACGCGTGTGTCGTTGTCACGTACTTCACAATGGTCTCGATACTGGATAATTTGTTCACTGATGGATGGTATTTTAGTTCGAGTTGCACGTCCAAAAAGAAGTTGCGCAGGAGAAACACCAGTTGCAGGGTGAGGAGTATTTCTATCAATTAGAAAGTAATTCTGAAGGTCCTTTTGCCAATCGCTTTCTGGGGTATTTGCACTTATGCGGAGCCTTTTCAATATTGAATTGTTTTGTCTTTCAATCAGTCCGTTGGCTTGCGGCCAGTATGGAGGGGTTGAATGAAGTGTTATTCCATGTTCTTTACAAAAACCCTTGAATTCATTACCTACTGACAAACTGTCGGCCATTATCAGCAGTGATAGTTCGAGGTAGGCCCAGAAGGGAAAATAGTTTCCAGAGTTGTTCTATTGTGTCCTTTGAGAGGATTTTCTCCATGGCGATCACTTTTTTGAATCGACTATAATAGTCAATGATTACTAGCGGATAAATACTGTTGGGCATTGGTCCTCAGAAGTCAATCGCTATGTCGGTCCAGGGGGTAGCAAGAAAACTTCTCATTTTTTAGGGGTACAGGTATGTTTGTTACCGTGACTAAAGCACATTTGTGGCATTGTTTCACATATTCGGTAACATCAGCATCTATTTCCGGCCACCCTGCATAAGAACGTAAAAGGCGCTTCATATAATCTGTCTCTGGGTGTCCTTCGTGGCTTAGTGTCAGTATCTTACGGCGCAGGTCCGTTGGCATCACAATTTTAGTGCCTCGTAGAAGTATATTTTCGTGAAAACAATATTCCGTTTTGAACGGTTTATAATCTTGTATGGATTTTTCAGACTCCCACAGTTTGTCATTATGTAGGCATTGCTTAATCATCTGGATTTGTGAGTCAGTTTTTGATTGATCGTTCACTTCGTTTATGGTTACAGCGGGATTACTGCTCGTGCTCGTGATGTCAGATATCTGGTTCACTAAATGTTCGATGCCGTCTTCAAACAGGTCTGTCGGATGTTTCATATTTACTGGCAGGCGAGATAAAAGATCGGCGATGTTCGTCTTTCCTGGTTTGTAAATTACGTTGAAATCGTAAGCTTGTATTCGCAGAATCTAACGTTCGACTCGTGCGCATACGCTGTTTCTCGGGGAAAACATAAACTCTAAGGGCTTATGATCAGTTAACAAGTCAAGGCTTCCTTTTCAGTTATGTGGTACATATTTTTGTTCTCTTTCGGAAAGGCTGCGGTGACCGTACGCAATAACTCTGGCCCCCTCTTTTGACTTTTGGCATAATACGGCCCCGAGGCCTACGGGACTAGCATCAGCAATAACAAATGTCGGATCACCTATAGAGTAAAAGCCAAGAACTGAGTCGTCCGTCAAAATTTCTTTCAGTCTTTTAAAAGCAGACTGTTTTCCCAGGTAAACTTATTATTTTTGATAATTTGTCTAATAAGTGGATATGTTTTTGTGGCTACATCGGGAATAAATCTTGAAACATAATTTATGAGGCCCAAGAAGCTGCGAACTTCTTCTACAGATGTTGGTTGCCTGAACCGTTGCACCGCGTCGATTTTAGCTAACGTTGGTTTCACTCCATTTTTCGATATTCTGTGGCCTAAAAATTCAATTTCTGGTATTTTTATTTTGCATCTATTTTCATTTAGGACGACGTTATATTCTGATAATTTGTTTCTGATGGCTTTCAATCTCTTATCGTGCTGTTCCTCGTTTCCAGCGTAAACTAAAATATCGTCGATGTATTACACAAAAAATCTATCGCAGTCTTCGAGGATTTGTTCAATGGTCTTTTGGAAGATCTCAGACGCGCAGGAGATTCCAAACATAAGGCGTTTATACCTGTATAGTCCCCTACTTGTGATGAAAGTTGTTATGTGTCGAGATTCGGGTTTAATCATTATTTGGTGAAATGCTTGCTTAATATCCAAACTGGAAAAAATCGTGCAGTTTTTCAGTTTGGATAGTAGGTCTTCAATTGTGGGCATTGGGTATTTTTCTCGGAGTACTGCTCTATTGGCTCGTCGCATGTCAATGCATATGCGTATCTCTTTGTTTGGTTTGCAGATGATAACCATAGGAGATACCCAGCCCGTGTGATTTTTCACAGGCTCAATTACGTCACTATCCAACAATTCGTCGAGCTTTTCATTCACTGCCTCTTCGAGAGGAATTGGCGTTCGCCGAAGTGGTTGACTTACAGGCTGGACATTTTTATCTATGGGTATATCGACTTTTATACCTTTTATAGCTGCTAATCTTGGTAATTTCCTATCGCTAGCTATGCTGCGGATAGTTGAATTAGATTTTAAAATGCCTAAACTCAGTGCAGTTTCTTTTCCGATAAGTGACATTTTACCCCCTCTAATTATATCTATAGAATTTTTCATCAGAACTTGTCTTGCCGAGTGGCCGAAAAACATCACTTCTAAGGGTACATCTGATCCATATGCTTTAAACGATATGTCGGAGTTGCTTTCGAAATCTTTGATACTTAATTGCATTCATTTTATTTAAAAATATCCATGTTTTATCTCCAATAATGTTTTTATTTGAACCGGTGTCTATGCACATTTGAATGACAATACCGCCTACTGCACAAGGTATCGTATCCGTTCCTAGTCAGAAATCACTGTTTTCTTCATCAATTGCTCGGATTGT